ATAACGGGGGACACGGGGACAATGGGGATAACGGGGACAAGGAGGGGATAACGGGGGACAACGGGGACAGCTCGAGGCGGGAGGGACAGCGGGGAACACGGCGGTGAAGAGGAGACAGTGAGGGAGGAACACCCCAGCAAGGGGGCAACTCCGGTGCCGGGGAGCAGCGAGGGGACATCTGGGGACACCCCGGTGCAGGGACACACCGAGGGGACATCTGGGGACACCCCGGTGCAGGGACACCGAGGGGACATCTGGGGACACCCCGGTGCAGAGACACACCGAGGGGACACGCGGGGACACCCCGGTGCAGGCACACACCGAGGGGACACGCGGGGACACCCCGGGCGGTCAGCGCGGCCCCGGCTCGCCTCGTACCCATCCACACCCACCCAGCCCCCGCGGAGGAAGGAAGGAAGGAGGCAGAGCCGAGCTGGAGCTGCACGGATGGTTTTACCGGGGCCGCTCCGCCTCCCCTCCCGGCCGACATCGGCCCGGGCCCGGCGCGGCTTTGGGGCCGGGGCGTCACAAGGCRCGGGAGGGACGAGAGCGGGACCCGCTCCCCCCGGGGCTCCGGGGAATGTACAGAGCGAGCGGTGGGGTGGATACACAGGAGACAACGCTTGGCACGGATTAATGAAGTTCCTGCCCACCCACGGCAGCGGGTGACACGGATACAGCGGTTTGTGGGTTAACAGGGGATAAAGGGACACAGTCCGGTCTCCTCTGACCCCTCGGGATCCCCCGGCTGCGCCAGCTTGGGGGTGGCTTTGAGGGTCCCTCTGCCACTGTCCAGACTCATCCTCATCTCCCAGCAGTGCCCAGAGGTGGCTGCAGGGAGTTGACAGAATAAAGATTTTGAGGGATCCCAAAGGCCTCCTCCAAGCCACAGCCCTGAAGGGATCAAAGTCCCCGAAGGGAGGACAGGAGATCTGTGTCCAGCGCTGCTCAGAAGCTCTGGCATGGCCAGACCCCATCCTGTCACCCTGGAGTGTGACAAAGTGCAGAGCTAATGCATAGTTACAATGCCAACACTGAGAAACAGCCCGGGCTAGGTAATTAATCTCACTAGAGCAATTAGTGAAGTGACACTGGTTCAGCCCAGAGGTCCAGCTAAGCTCAGTCCCCAGGCTCAGGTACAGACAGGACTGGGGCAGGGTGGGGACAAGGTAATTGCCACCCAGGACCTGAAGCCCAGGAAAGAAAATACCTCGTCAGAAAAGAAAAAAAAAGGCTTTTCCCTTGATTTGATTTGGTCCAACAAAATTGTGCTTCAGGGAGCAGAAAAAGCATCACCAGCCAGGGCTGGCTGCAGGAAGCTACTGAAGATGCTTTGTCCACTCACATCTGTAGGAATATGCCTTAAAACCCGTTTCATTTAACTTTTCCTTCTCCAAATTACAAAATGATGCTCRCTCTGTATCCAGGCATTGGCACAGAGGAGCAGCAACTGCTCAGGGGTGTTCAGGTAAGGGGTAATGGCTTCATGTCTGAACAATCTCTTTGGAAAAAATTCCTGAAAATATCTTTTGTACTTCTGGCTTTTAGAACTGCCCAGTTCCCAGCCAGGTGATGCTCTCARGGCAGCTCCCAGAGGGAATTTCATGGTTCATCACCCAGCATGAGCTTGAAGCTCAAAGCAAACATGGACAGAGCATTACAACAGCTCCAAAGGGACACGGGGAGGAGCTCCCAGAGTTATTGGGGTGGGAGCCCTGGGATGGATGGATGGGTGGGTGGATGAGTGGGACACTGCCCACTGCTGTGTCCTTGAGCCTGGGGTCACTGCTGGAGCTCCTGAGGGCTCTCAAACTGACCCTCACCTGACCCYTCTGAGCTGCACCAAACCCTAACACCCCAGTGTCCACTCCTGATGTCCCCACGCCACCCTCAGCACCCCCTCAGGGGCACAGACCGGGTCACACAGGGCACGGGGACAGCTGCAGGGTCACCCCCAGCTCAGGACCAGCCCCATCCTGTCACACACTGATTGTCACAGTCAGTCCATGGCCACAGCTGCCACCCAGGACAGCAGGCAGGGGCTGCCCATGGGTGCTGGGTGCTGTCACCATGAGTGTTCAGTGCTGGGTGCTGTTGTCACCATGAGTGTTCAGTGCTGGGTGCTGTTGTCACCACGAGTGTGCAGTGCTGGGTGCTGTTGTCACCACGAGTGTTCAGTGCTGGGTGCTGTTGTCACCACGAGTGTTTGGTCATCACGGCAATGCTGCTCCCCACAGCAGCAGCAGTCCTGGGGATTGGGGTTGGGGGTTACCCCAGTGTCTGGTACCACAGTCTGAACAGGAGCTGCAAAGGAAGKAGGGTGGGTGCTCTGGGAATGTGTTCAAGTATTTTCACTCCTGTAAAAATTGGCCTGAAACTCAAAAGGGCAGCTTGTGTAAACTGGGATCACTTGAAACTCAGCCTCAAACCAAGATCCAGCCCCATCCTGGGACTGCCTGCAGCTCAACACCAATGTCTGGCATGAAGATGAGGAGTTGCTGTAATCAAAATAGATCTCTGAAGTCTTTGGCCATCTCASTGGGGCGTTCAGGTGCCAGTTTTTAGGATTGCAGGTAGGGTTTTGCCCTCTGCAGCCCTTCCTTCAGGAACTGGAGGTAAGTTGCAGTTGAAGGGTCTTCAAAATTGCTTGAGAAACTAAAGATGCTGCTTTCAACATCTTCAGGCTTCATAGAAGTAATGTCCAGGAAATAGTTGGCATTGATATGGTGAATCTGGCAAGGAAGACAGATGAGAGGAGACTTTTAAGGGGCAGAACAATTCCCCATCCACAGCCTTGGCCTCCAGCCAGGACAGAGGTGACAAAGCTGTAAYAGCTCTTACAGAATATCTAATTCTTTATAAATGCTAATTCAGGAACTGGGATTCAGGTCTGAATWTTACAGTCAGAGAAAGGAAACAAAGCTACAGAGGCTTCCCAAAGCTCAGGGACAGTGAGGAACCACACTTGGGTCAGGCCTGTTCTGCCCCTGCCCAGAGCTGCTGCTGTAGCTGGATTTATCTCTGCAGTTTTTATCTCTGGATAAAAACACTTTTGTTTCAGATTTCTGGGAGAGGGMCAAAGGCTCGAGGGGCAGTGGAGACCCTGCAGAGAACAGTTCCATGGGTCAGAGCCTGGCCTTACCACCGTGCCATTGGGGAGGCAGATGATCATCTCCACGGGGAAGTTGTATTTCTCCAGGTGCAGCTTGGCCAGTTTGCTTTGGAACTCATTCTCTCTGTTGCTCTGCAGGGAAACACCAAAATCACACATTTGCACAGCCCAAAAGGGGCAGAATGGCACAGGGGGAGCACACAGAGCACAGSAGAGAGGGAGGGAGGGAGCAGAGAGCTGCCCTGCAGCACGGGGATAACCAGTACCATCCTCACAGGCTGCTTTCCCATTCCCTGATCCTCCCTCTCACATTTCAGCTGTACATTTGCTCCCCAAACAATAAAATCACCTCACCACAGGCACACCAACAGCCTGAGCCCAGCCTTCCYCAGAATGTCAAGCTCTGTGACTAATCTCAGGCTCAGCAGAGGAGAGCAGCTCAGTCAGGAGAATCAGGGCTCAGACAGTATCTGGTTATTTGGCTGTCCCCTGGGTGGCAGGGCAGTCAGTCGGTTGATGGCACTGGTGGCCTTGGGCAGGGCTGTCTGGCAGTGAAGCATCTGGTTTAGCTTTAAAGCTGGCACCAGSACAGAGCCAAGGGGGTCACTGTGCCATTTCTCCATCTGCCGTCTGCCCGGCCCCTGCAGCGGCTGAGGACACGAAGGGTTTGGAACAGAAATCCCCCCTGGCACAGGGGGGATGAGAAATCCCCCCTCCAGCAGGGGTGTGAGCCTCACCTGCAGCTCCTCCAGCTCCTTCACCAGGGACCAGCTGCTGATGAAGCTCTCGTTCAGCAGGGCGAGGATGGGCGAACTTTCCAGGACGGTTTCCCGGAGAGTTCGCCCCGAACCTGGCACGGGAAGAGGCACAGAGGCTTTGCTGTGTTTCCTGAGGTCACTGGCACCACACTCRATGCACAGTGGCAGCTGACTGTGTCCCCCCAGCCCTCCCCAATGTCTTTTTGCTCCTTTGTTGGCAGTTCTCCATGGCTTTTGTTCCCTACAGGTGCTGCTGGCAGAGGATTCAGCAGAGCAGAGCCTGAGCCAGGCACAGAAGGCCCAGCAGAAGCCACCCCAAGTGAGAATTTTTAGAGCAGACAGGACTAGAGAGACCCATCCCCTCCACCCATCCCTCCTGCCCAACGTGGCGTGGAGGGGGAAAARCCCCAAGGCTGGGTCTGGCTCTGCCAGGGGCAAAGAATTGGCAGTGCCCCTTTTCCCTGGAAGTGGAAAGAGCAGATCCAGGTCCCCATCTTGACAAAGCTCAGCTCAGAGCTGGTTTCAGCCAGATCTGATGCTGCCACTGGGAAATTGAGCTCCCATCAGATTCCCTGTTCCCAGCCTGTGCCCACTCAGCACCTCCAGTGCCCAAACAAGTGACACAACATTTGCTGCCTGACCCCCAGCTCTCCTCACAGCCACGCTGGGAGCATCCTCACCTCAGCAGGACTGGTCATCCAGGGCACCCCAGAGCAGGATGGAGTGCACCAGCTTCTTCTCTGCTTTTGCTCTCTCAAAAGCTTCTGTGAAGGGCAGGTAGGAGATCTGGGGACAGAGGGACAGTGTGAGGAACAGGCACAGAACAGCCTGGCTCAAACAGGAGTGGCTCTGAAGGAACCACACCCAGCCTGCAGATCTGAGCAAGTGCCAACTGTGATGGGGTCCCCAGGGACACCTTCACCTCCTGGGGACACTGAGGGCAGTCCCTGGCACCTGCAGAGCCCTGATCTCATATCAGGTGAGATCCACACCATGGTGCCAGCCTGGCTGCAAACCCACCCCGGCTGCTGGGCCAATCTGCCCTGCTGATATTTATTACAAAACCTCCTGCAGCAGCCCGAGAATGAGGGACCCAGCACAGAGACTGCTCCAATCACTCAAAGGAAAGGAACTGATATGAACATCTTGGCAGCCTGAAGGGACATTTGTAAGCTCAGGCACAAGGAGGCAGCCACTGAAATGTGTCCCTTCAGCCAAGGAAGCGGTGACAGGCAGTAGCCATCTGCTCCACAGGCTGCTGGCATGTTAAATAGTTTGGGTCACCCAGAGCTATAAATTTGTGTCTGGCTGCGGGCTGCAGAGGCACAGGCAGATTGTGTGCTCTCTGCTGATAAGGAAAGCTCGCTGCACAGGCACCTGGCTGCTGTGGAAGTGATGCCAGAGGAAAAACCATTTGTAAGCAGCACGATCACCTGCCTGCTCCAAAATCACAGCACAGCCGTTGATAAGAGGCAGAAGGATGAGCCAGCACTCACAGAGCCATCCTGGGGACACCTGACACGGGGATTTGCTCTGCCTGTGCTGCTGGCTGACCCCACACGCCCTTTCAGAGCTGCTGCACTCCCTCATCTGGAAGCTGAAGTCCATCAAGCAGTGCCTGGAGGCAAACCCTGACTTGGCACAGCCTCCCAGTGCTCAGAGCCTCCCGTGSCCTGGATGCTGCTCAGGCTGTGCCCTCTGCACTCTCCGGGGGGACACTCTGCCCCAAACCAGCGTGCCAAGGCAGAGCCCAGCCCTTCCCTCACCTTYTTAAACGGATACATGGCCACTTCCAGCCTGTGTGCTGCCTGTTCCCAGGGGATCTGCTGCTGCCAGGTGATCTCCTCGAACACRAACTGGATGGGCTCCCCTGAGGGGTCTCTGCTGTCGATGACGTTCCCGTTCTCGTCGTGGATCACGGCGGGGATCGAGGGTCCCGTGGATTCCAGCTCCATCTGCAGGGAAAGGGCTGGGTTGGACCCTGCACTGAGCCCTCTCCAGGACAGGACACAGACCCAAAATGACCTGTGCAGCCCCTAATGGAGGCATGGTTTGATCTCCCATCCCCTGGAGCTGCATTTCACCAGTGAAGTACCAGGAAAGGAACTTCACTTCCTTCAGTCTGGCTGCACTCACTGCATTGGAGTGTTTCCACCTTCCCAGAGGAGATTCCTGACTGTGGGACACCAGATCCTTCAAATCATCAGGATCTGCAGGGCTAATGGCAAGCTCTCGTTCCTGTCACCAGCTCAGCTCGGGAAGCCACAAGAGGGAGCAGCAGGAAAAGCTGCCCGGAAGATTCCCTGTGGTTCACGTTCTGGTACAGCTGAATGATTGTTAARGCTTCTGACAATTAAAAATAAACATGGATCTAGTTTAGGAGAAAATTGGACTGTTAATTCAGCCATTCAAAATCCTGACTTGTGTCCCAAGAGCCGGGATTACCACAAAACAGGGGAATAACCTCCTGCAGTTTCTAAATTCAGACCCATTGTTGCTCATACTCTGCTCTGGGCTCAGGGCCTGGGTTCAGCTCCTCATCTTCCCTCCTGCCTGTCAGGCAGTGTTTTAAAATAGGAAAAAGRCTCTGGGAGCTTAGAATTCAACCCACATGGAGGGGAAAAGGAAAATATCAGAGGACCTGCAGAGGGCAGACAGAGATAAATRGAAATTCTGTTGTTCTGCTGAAATAATTAAGAGAAACAGAAGCTCCACAGCTCAGGGCCACGGCAGCACAAATCCCTGAGGAGAGCTGGAGCCACGTGGAGCTCTGGGAGAGGCACAGACCTGAGGCAGATATCCAATGTCCACTTCCATGTTGCTGCTCTCGCTCGCCCCGTACAGCCACTCCATGTCCACGTTCAGGGACCTGCACAGAGAACCCTCGAGTCACCCAGGGCTAAATCTGTGTATGGGAACCCCAAACAAACAGGAACATCCTCTTGCAGAGCCTCTGGAGATGTCTGTATTCCCTGCCCCAGCCCAGGAACASCAGAACCCTGCTGGATCAGGGCCCAGGCACCCACTCAGCACTCTGGGAAAAGGAACTCGACACCTCTGAGCTCTGTCAAATGACAGCAGAGAGAGATGTCTTTGCTCCCYCTYCCTTCCCAGCACTTCACTCGCACATTCTGATCCTGCTGAACTTTTAAAAGCTGTTTTTTGGAAGCAAAAGGCTGCTGGCAGAGCCCTCAGTGTCTGCTGGCTGTAAGAAATGTGCTGACAGAGCCACCAGGCTTGAGCCACCAGGGTAATGTTGTAATAGAATTTTCACTCCCGTCATGGGCAAAGAGATTTGAAGCTTCTTCCCCCTGAAACGCTTCCAGCTCCTTGCCAGAGAGCAGGAAYGAGCTGGTGCAAAGCTCTGCACACAAAACCTTAACCTGTGAGACTCTGAGCAAAAAATCTGCTGGAGAGGAGCAGCAGGCCTTGCTGAACTGCAGGGATTGCAGCCAGGCATGGAACTGCCACTCCTGCCACACCCTGCCTGTCCTTCCCCATCCTCCCAGGGACAGAATCACACCCTGGATGGGTCAGGGATCCTCAGTCACTCAGATTTCCCAAAAACTTGGCTGGAAACGAGAGGGAAACAGTTGTACCTGTTGTTGGGAACAAAGAGCCTGAAGTCCCTGACGTGGGAAGAATCCTTGGAGAGGACAATGTAACCTGTGAACTGTCCTGGGGAAAACCAAAAGGGGAAGTTTGGAGGCTCATTCAGCTGGAATTCAGCGTGGATCCTGAAAGAAGAAAGGAGCCATCAGCAGGTGACAGCAGGGAAAAGCTCTCTGCAGGCAGCAGCAATTATAAACCTGAACCAGGGCACAGAGGCGCAGTTTAAAAGCTTTTCATGTCACACACTGAAGAGGGTGAAAGCCTGGAGCAGATGCCCTGGGCCAGGATTGTGAGGGCACAGCCTCTCTGGGGACACTGGGAGCACAAAAGGTGACCTTGGATTGAACCACTCTCCCTTCCAGAACAGCTCTGCTGTCACCAGGGAACACCCTGCCCGTGCCATGATGCCCATGCCATGTGCCAGGGGCTCAGAGCAGCCTCCCCCTCCCCTGGGGGACACAAGCAGGGTTCAGGGGTGCCCCCAGCCCCCCAAGACTCACCGGAATGCTATGGTGTAGTAGAAGCTGCTGCTGGCCTGGATGCAGGCCACGGCTCCCTGTGGAGCAAAGCGCGTCCGGACGAAGGGGCGTGGGTGGAACATGCTCAGCAGTTTGTGGATAATCACCTGCATGA